CAGACAGAAATCTGCTCATAGAATGGTGTGAGAAGTCTTCGAACACGAATATACAAAAAAAACCTTGCACTGAAAAAGAATGACGTCTGAGGAAGGTTTGGTCGGGTATTTAGCGTAGCTTTAGGTGTCGATACAGAAGGAGAATTGTGTAGAACATAACTGATTCTATCGCCATAATTGATTCGATCTCCTCTTATTGCAAGCTAATGAGACTTGATATAACGATGGTGATAACTTGGAAGTATTTGGTGCAACTTTAAATCCAGAACGAAGCCAGAACAATAAAGAAGGCCTGTTCGGTTCAGCCGGTAAACAGGTCTTCGTCTTCTTTGAATCTTCCGCACAGAGAAACTTGAGAAGCAGCAGTACAGGCAACAAAAAAGCTACTAAGGCGTGGTAATTGTTAAGACAACCCGATTCAGCAAGGAATAAGTATTTTGCATATTGCAACCGATGACCCGCTGCTGGCTAGGCTGTAAAAACACTCAGATGGCAAAATTCTAAGCAGTAAGGAAGATATACTCTAATAATGGAGGAAATACCTAGAGAATATCTTATATCCAATGCATCTAGATTGTGGCGACACGTGAGAAAAGAATTTTTGTATGCAAGGTTAGCAAATTTTGGTAGAAGAATACAGCGTTAAAAGCCTTGAAGAGCAATGGAATTTTTTCTAATTCGTGTTTTCTAGGTTGCGTGGAGTCGTGAATGGACACTAAAGTGATGAGAATGTCGGATGGTAACAACCATATTAAGAACGATCAATGTCAAACATCACTGAGACATCTCGTTGCTCAATTTATTTGACAAATTCTCGGCAAGACGCTTGGAAAAGACGTTGCGAGGTGGCAAAGCAGCGTCACTTTCATCCCAGCGCTGCAACCACATTCGTGGCAAAAATGCTTAGAGCACGCGAAAAAGGTCTACGCCTTGTTGAATCGACGTCCAGAGTGTTCCCGACGGGGCGGCGCGGTTGAAGCTGAGAATAGGTTTGCGAAAACAGAAGGCAGACAGAAGACTGAATGTGAACGATCAAAGTTCTCTACGCGGTCACCTGGAAATCAGTGTCTTGGTTAGCAGTAGGAAGCGGACATTTTTCAAAAAGCGTTGCTTTTACAACTACAAGTGCACGCATTGTACCCTCTTTTTCATAATTTACGTAAATCGACAGGAAGAAAGTGATTGGAAAATGTGAATTTCATTTGGGTGGTCACTTTAACCACCTGTTATTTAGAGATGTCGTCATCGTATTTGTTTCCACTCCTGTTCATCGCCATCGTGCAGCTGACAAATTTGAAGCTGAGAGCAAAGTAGGGAAGAAGACTGATTAAAACTGAAGCTCCGAACTCTCGAGAAAGACCATTTTGTGTGCTATGAGGTCAGTGGACTGCAACTGAAGCAGATGAACTTTATTCATGAATGACGGCAGCAAGTGAAAACATCGGAAACACGATCCCTCTGAAAGGTCACTGGTGTGTCAATGCGTGACAAGATTCAAAACATGGCAAATGGAAATAACTTATTTTTGAAGTGAACCTTTTCCAAACTGAGAAACCACAACGGCTGCAGTTATAGTTCAGTGTCGAGGATGCAAATATAGATTAGCAAGTGCATAGAACGGACAGTCAATAAACATATCCATGATCATCGAGTGGACTCTCGCTGAAGACTCAGTCTGTTGCCTTTAGCACTGCCAACAATAAAATCACATGACGTATCTGCTTGTGTCACTTTCACCGCTTTTGCTGTTTGCCGCAGCTGGTATACACAATTTTTCATATTACAACCGATCTTCGTCATGATCATCCATTTTTGATCGACTGCTGGATGAAGGACTCTCCAAAAACTTAGCATAAACTTCTGTTTAATGTGATTCTTATCTATATTGGTAAAAGGAACTTCTTCAGCTAACCCAATCATCGATTTGGAGGCCTTCCTACGGTGGTTTCTCCAGACCAGTAAAGGTCCAGACCAATCTTATCGACAATCAATCAAACGTACGATTTAACCCATTAACGGATGGTGGAGATTACTGAGAAAAAGGTCACGGATTCAGAAGGTTAATTGTAGATCGAAATCCAAACGCCCTCGAAAGAAAATAAATATGATTCAAATATTTAAGAAAGGGAACGGGAAAGAGCAGAACTTACCAAAAAACTCTCCATAACGGCTGTCACAACTATCAGGAGAAGAAATGCCGACAGATGGACTTCGGCTGGCAGTTTCGAAACGAAGTGGTGAGCTGCCAGGACTTGGAATTGAGCTGGAGGAGGATACGGCGTCTGCTACATTAGATGACAGGAAGTTCTTGCATAACGGCAAATCTGTATCATCAATTTCTTCGCGCATGCGCTTACATCGAAGATAGGTCGGACTGCTCGGACAATATGTCGGGCGAGCTTTGGCACTTCCATCCTTGTCATTGTTCAACTGCAGAATACCGTTACCATTGCAGTGGTGAAGATGCTTGAACTGATTGACATGTTTTTGGATGAAGTTGAGGAGCGCCGGAACAAAGTGAGAATTACGTAAGATGTACGCCATACCCTGTTCATCATACAGGAAGCACATCAACGACTTGACGATCTCGGTTTGTAGTTGCACCACATCGGTCACAGCCACATATTCAATCAAATAGTCAATCGCACCTGTCTCGATCATCTTCGTCCTCGTGAAAGCGTCATGGCAGAACCTGCTCAACAGCGACACGTAATACTCTGGTTTCTCTGCAGCCGGACGAAGGGCTTTCGCACATGACATCAAGTACGAGATCGCGCCGTGTTTCGACAACTCGATTCGCATGTCTCCAAAATGTTCGATCATCAAGAGCAGCAGTTGGTTGAAGGCTGTCGCCTCGATTGAACCTGGGTTAGTGATTGTCTCTGAATGCATCATCGGGATTACGAACTCAGACCGGATTAACTGCACCGCGAAATTTATGTCCATTGATTTCGCGAAGTATTTGAATATATAAAACACCAGTAACCTAGAGTCAGTATCCCAATTAGTGAACGACTTGGCTAACAGATATGCCGTATCGTGCTGCAGGAGAAGACGACAAAACGACCCACTGTGACGAGCCGCGTTTCGAAGCATATGAAGGGAATAGATGCTTAATCTACTGAATCCGGCGCTCACATCTTTGTCCATTGTGAAATCCAAAATGTACTTTATTACGTTCTCACTGCGCAAGACATGCGCTGCGCACTCCTTGTCACAACACAGCTCCACTAACAGTAGTACAATAGATAATTTTACACTCCGGGATGCAGAAGCACAGCCCATGATCGATGCTAAATTGAAACTTTTACGTAAGACGTGTTCGTGATTAATAAAACAACTTACTCATCTGTGACAAGAGATGGGCGTTTTTGACCTGAAAAAATTTTTTTCATAAATTCGCTGACTTAAATGCACTAGAAACGTAAAAATATAAATGAAAGAATGACATAACTCTAATTAAAAATCGTGTAAAAACAAACCTGCACGACGTTTCAAAATGTTTTTATCCTGGGATCTCCGCTGTCATCGTTGCCACTGAGGAACCAGGGATTTTAGGTCACCAAATAATGACAAAGTCAGAACCCCATTTATGAACAAACTAATAACCTCAGTAATCTAACTACATCCAGCCAAACTATATCCACTAGAATATAAAGAAACAAAGTCGTACAAAAAGTTCCAATGAACATTACGAGTTTTGGTAATGATGACATGAACACAACCGCAGTAACGAATGTTAAATATAACTCAACAAAATGATGGACATCTGTTGCCTAATCGTTTCAATGATAGCGGCTGAAATTTTTGAAAAAAAAAACATTTTATTGGCACTTAAAAATCGAAATATTCGAGAAATCAGATATTTGTTTGAACAATTCATGGTTCAGGGAACCAAATACAACAGGTGGTACAACAGTTTATTGTCGACGCGATTCGCTACATTGCCCGCATCATCATCAGGGCTAGGCTGAATACAAATGACTGCTTGAAGGCACATGTCCAAATAGCGAACAATATTTTACAGTCAAAATGTTGTTAAACTGAACGGCCAGAATGATAACCAACAAACACTGTGAAGTTCTAATTAAAACAATCGAATTAATTTTGCAATCGTCCCCCTGCTTTCGCCTTCGCTAATTACCACAGAAGATGTTAATTCATTGTACGTCCGGTTTTTAATTGCCAGTATATGCAAGGACTTTTTTAACAGCAGACCTAATTTAGATTGGTCTTTGTACATAACAAACACACTGGTTTCACTGAAACAATGTACTTCAATAATCGCATGCTGGGCAATATTGAAACTGTCATCCTGTCCAAGGCGGACCGCAGAAAGGTGCTCTTTTATCCTCATGTTCGATTTTCGGTTGGTCTTTCCAGTGTACACCTTGTCGCAGTCTCTGCTCTAAACATCGTTGTCTGCATTTAACGCTTCTTCAGGGTTATTAATGGGCATGTACCTTTTAAATAATAAAATGTCGCCCAATACTCTGTCACTCTTGTAGTAGACACTAAACCCCATGTGATTAAGGTACCTCGTGATACGTTGATATATCTGGGGTATGAACGGTAAAATTACCTTTAGTCCACATTAACTAGTTATCAAGTTTGAGATGGGATGCAAGAGCTATTCTTCAAGGATATTCCTTCGGCAACCGTTCCGGATTAATCTAAATTAGGTCCGCTGATGATGGCACGCCACGCGGTGAAAGTACCTTGTGACGATCTGCCGGCAGAAGCAACCAGAGAATCAAATGAGAAACATTATCTTTGGCGGATACGAGAGCGAAACTTAAAAACAACATCGCTCAATCGGTGTGAACAAATCCCGGTGATGACCGCCGATGTGTCAATCGAAAAGGACAGAAAGAGAGGCACACTCGACGCTGCCGCCGAATGGTGCGGATTCAAATAGACTGGCCTGCCGCTTGGAGGTCAGAAAAGAAACTTCTTGGTGGACACGAAAGGTAAAACTGGCAGTTAAAGTGAAGAAGGCTGCATTCAGGAAATGGCTTGGAAGCAAAGAACATTCAACTCGCATGCGGCATGTAGAAACAATGCGGCAGCAAGGGCAGTGGCGAAAGCCAAAGCTGATTCCGGGGAGATTCGGTGAGGTGCTAGAGTCGAATTTCCAGACAGCAACCAAGGCATCTTCTGGCAGACTATCCGCCGCCTGCGAGGTAAAAAGAAGGGCAATTTAAGAATGATGGAGAACAAGTCTGTGCGCCTTCTTATTAAGATGACATGCTTCGCTCCTGAAAAGATTACCTTGAGAAGCTCATTAACTCTGAGCATCCGTAAGAAGATTCGTCTTAGACATGCTAGTTTTTCAGTAAATGAAGTTATAGTAATGTAGAAAGCTTGAAACGTGATTGGATGCTGAATCGATGAAACCCGCCCTGAAATTCTTAAAACTTAAAGCAAACAAGGCACGCTGCAGCTAACTGCGTAGCAATGGTTACATGGAAGACATCACTGGACTGGAGAACAGGTGAAGTACTCCTGTTCAAAAAGGAAGACCATAGCGATTGTTCCAATTATCAGACATTACCAGATGGAGCCTGCAGGAAAAGGTCTACGCAAAGGCTTTAGAAAGGTGCTACGAAATTACTGACTGCAAGAAACAAGAAAAGCAATGTGGCTCCAGGCCTGGCCGAAGCACCTTTGACCAGATATTCGCCATACTAGATGTTATTTAGAAATTGTTGGAGTTTTCCCACCCGGTTTACAGGTGTTTGCGGACCTTAAGAAGGCCTAGGACTGGAGCCCGCGCAACAATCTATGAGCATACCTGCGAGCATATGGGATAAATGGCCATAATCCCATATGGTGATCAACATATGGTGTTACACGGGCCATCCAATCACCATATGCTTATGGCAGGTGTTGCGTCAGAGTAGGTAGCGTTAAGTCGAAACCTTTCAGCGCTGGCACTGGTCTCCGCCAAGGCTGTGTTCTGTTCCTTCTCCTGTTTGTGTTGCACATAGATGGAATAGTCAGGCGCATTCAGGACAATTAGACTATCAGCACAGATGTTGAGACGTTAAATTTGCAGTTTACAGATGGCCCTGTTTCGGCATCTTCTAATAGTGATCTCCAGCGCTCTCTGGAAAGGTTCGTATCCGAGTGCAACGCGAACAGCATGCGTGTGAACGTGTCCAAACCCAAAAGCCTGAAGTCCGCTGGGCTCTGCGCAGATGATCAAATAAACGGAGAAGCGGTTTAGCAGGTGAAGTTCGTTCTCGGTCGGGGTCGTGATGAAAAATGGAACAGACTGTTAAGGCAATTGGAATGGCTAGTGACGTTCTACGTTAATTATTTCGAACCGTTTGACTAAAGCAGAACTGGAAGACTAAAGCTTGGTGCTGAAGTCGATCTTCATCACTATGCTCGCCTACGGTCATGAGTCGCGGACCGTGACTGAAAAATTTCGATCTCAGGTACAACTGCTGAAGTGGGTTTTTAAAAATGAATCGGTGGGCTCACGCGTCTCGACGTGATCAGAAGTACAGATATCCGACACTGCCTTGGCATTGTACCCTCAAGATTGAGAAGTAAAGCTGCGATGGTTTGAGCACGTATTTCGAAGAATGTCTCCAGAAAGGAAGGCGAAGCAGCTACTATTTACGAAATTGACTAGCCGAAGACCCTGGGGACGGCCACCGAATAACCTTGGGCAAGTATATGGAAGTACTACACTCCAAGTTATGTTCTGCCGAAGTTCAAACGCTGGTATAGGAATATGGAACTTTAGAGACATTACCTGACGCGTCTGTCTCCGCAGCCTGAAACGATGAACGATTATCGAAACTGACTGACTGAAACTGTTAGCGTCACCGAAGTAAAAGTTGAGGTTTAAATAAACGAAATGAGAAAGCTAAGAGAACGTACCTTCAGCTTCATTTCTCCACCATACTCTCGGTGATGACAAAGCTGAGTAAGCAGCTGCAGAGCTTCGGATAAAATCTTGTTTTCTGTGCTTTCAACCCCTAATGACTGTGAATCACTGATGGTTGATTTCAGCAAAGCATGACCTGTATCGAGGTACTCTTTGCAGATATGGATAACTTTCTGCCGCGGCACATACCGCTTCCAATATTCCGAAAACATTGGCGATGAAAAGCGAGCATTCAGCGTTTTAAGGAAAGTAAGCTGTTTAGACTTAGGCATTTTATCGAAGCCAACGATGTATCGCGTCTGTAACTCTGGATTGCTCGACATCGCTTTGAGCTAAATTGAAACAATAAAACACATTTATGAAACTGAGCGAGCATCGTCGTAAAGAAAGTTCACGCGTAAAATCTCAGAATAAATCCCATACAGTGATTAAAATAATAACAACAATAGTACTAATGTATTTATTAGACAATCCTGTGTGCAATTCAAGTGAAGTAGTACTGTTACGGATTCCGAAGAACTTCACTTTAAGAGATAAGTCACCAGAGAGAACTTTCTTATCAGAAGCCACGTACATATTTAATTGCATATGATCAATTAAAATTTAAGTTTGCAAATGCCACTGTCATTATGTAAAATATTTTAACCCCAGCTATATTAAACAGTTAACACACACGCGTCAAACCTGACCGCAATAAATTTTCACGACCGCTCAGTAGAGAGTACGGTATTACGTGGACCTGCATTTGACTAGAAGTAATTTAAACTTTTACTTAAACGTACCAATGAAAATACCCACCCTGACAATAAGAGGATAACCCTAACTGTGAGAAAATATCATGCAATTGCAAACAAGGAAGCCATTTTAAGGTCACTTAAGTCAATAAAAAAAGTTTTATATCATGAATTGTTAAATTACTAAAAATTCAAAATAAGAAAATTGACTAAATTTTTGAACATGCCATTGATATTTCTAGATTGAGAAGTCACAGCTGCGATGGCTTGAGCACTGGTGTCGCAATGCCCAGAAAGGAAGGCTAAATAGCTGTTTCTTGCTAAACCGACCCTCAGAAGGCCCAGGGGACGGTCAAGATTAACCTAGTGCAAATATATGAAAGTAGTCTGTTCCATACTCCAGTTATCTTCTGACGAAGCTCAGACTCTGGCACAGGATTGAGAACCTTGGAAGCACTGTCTCACTCGTCTGCATCCGCGACCCAAAAAGAGAACGGCCATGGAACATGAAGAACACGAAGATGGTGTGTCTTCCAAAAAAAATTTCAAGTGAAAAGAGGAACTGATTTAAAATCAAGTTCAGCAAATGATTTGCAAAAATCAGTATATTTCAATATATGTTTTATTTTCACCTATAAACAGGTACAAAA